ACTATACACATAATGTTAACAAAACGCCTAAAACTTAGAAATTACTTTGTTGCTGAGTGAAAACCATATGAAACTATTCGTCTATATAGTCTCGATGATCCCTTCCCATCGATCTTCCGTCCAATTCAAATGGGGATCGGAATTACGACGGTCTGAGCCGAGGTTCGAACCCCTAGTAGTACCCTTAGACTAAATTCGTATCCGTCAGTCAGGAGTTGGCCTTCAGCCGCTCCATAAGTTCTTCGGCGGGTTTGGAGTGCCATCTGCACTCGCCCCCTATTGTCCGGTGAAGTTGTACAGGCCAGCTGTGGTCAACAGTATTAGAGAAGTCCGACAAAAAAGAATCTTGATGGGGGACAATGTTTTATATTTGGATTTTATATGTGGATTTTATAAAAGATTAGATGTATATTATAGTTAAAGAAGTTTCATTTCAATGGATTGAAACATCTATTATAACGGCTTCCAACCGCCATATCTACTTTGTTGCACGGAGTTTAATATCCAACAAAGCTTCAGACACAATATACGTACATGGCGGATAATTACTCAATAGATAGGTACGTGCGATACACACGGTACCTAATAAAGGCTAATATCGACGATGCCTACAAACTTCGTCGGCCACGCGCGAGTGACATCCCTGGTGTTTCAGGTGTCTATGGGTTACGGTAACTGTTTACCACCAGATGGGTTCTATCTATTTGAATCGATTTTCATGACTTTTACTATAAAATCTGAAGATTCTCATGTAGCCAATATAAATTAGAACAAGACAATACTAGTTGTTTTGGAGTTAGATGCAATAATGCTTATTTAATTAACTTCGATTACATTAATGATATTTTCGCTGTCAATGTATAAATCGTTAATAATTGAATTTTGTTTTTTTGTGCCATTGAAATGTGTATAGTTATGTTTTATTTTTTATTTAAAAACACCCAGACTAATTAGAAATATTCATTTGAGTACAAATGTTTGTACGAAGGTTAGTCACGTGTCAGAGTCATGAGCCCGTAGTTCTCAGTCCTACCATGACGACGTTCATGGTATATGTATGTAGATGACGTTTGTCCTTACCATTAGGTGAACCGGCCAGTAGTTTGCCATTCCTGTTACATAATAAAAATAAAAAAAAATACGTAGAGTCATAATATCTGCTTATTTTTTTCATCTGGATAGCATTCAAATAGATGCATCGTCAGTACCTGCCTTTATAGAGTGTCGGCAGCACGCACGTTGCCACTAATCCCTTTGATGCAGCAACCCTCAAATTGTATTCTCAATAATAACATATGTACTACTGTTTAATACGCTTGATTTGATTACATTCACTATAATAACAATATTACCAATATTGTGATGGTGTTTGTAGTTGTAGTATTGAGTAATTACTGGATTATTTTTCCATTTTAAATACACAATAAACCACTACACAACTGATACCGTTTTATACGTTATACCCAAATGAGTCTTAATACAGATTGGGCATCTATTTATAAATTACAAACATTTGAAAAAATATCTGCGAAGTGTAAGGTATAAAAAGGTTTTTCTTGAAGCAAACAGAGCTATTCAGGTTCCACTTCCGGATCGGCTAGTAAAACGTTTTTAAAAGAAATTTCAATAATGCCCTCTTCAGTTTTTGAAGCTTGTGGAAATATACTGGTATTGGAGTTAAATTCTCTCCAATCACAAGCTTTTAGTATTCTCGTTTCGCTTCTTATATTTTACTTTGATCTCAAGTGAAGGGAAGGAAGAACCGGATATTAATTTAGTTGATAGTCGACTGCAGTCTGTAATAAAATGATCAAGTTATTATGTTGTTCCATATTTACCTTTACATCGATTTTAATATTTACCTTTTTCATTAAACCCTTAGGATATCGAAATTTATTTTGGACTTTCAATTAATTCATAATTTTCATTAGGAAATTATCTATTATATTACAAATGATTACTTTGAGACGACCGTGTATAGCGTTAGGTATTCAAGCACGGAATTTCAATATGGAAAATACTTACTAGTTATTACCGCGATTTCGTCTGTTCTTTTGAGGTAAAAGATGGCATAATGACATCCTCGTGACATAATGTATCTTTACGTCAACTTTCATTAATATACCTTCAAATCTAATCAAAAATAATTTATTCATATAGGACGTTTTAAGCGTTTATGAACAAAGTAGTGAGCAAGTTTTTTAATTAATATTTTGATATACACATTCAATTAAGAAGAATTGGCAAGAAACTGAACAGCATTCCTTTTTTTAAATACAGTTTATTTTTTGTACTTATACAGGTGTATATGTCTAATATTAAATTAATATCCCGTGCATGAGCAGCTATTGCCATGCACTTGTTCATTTAAATAATCGTTTATTGTATAATAGCTCAATATATATGATTTAACAATGTTTTAGATTTAAAAGTAATTCCACTATATCCTTTGGTTATTGTAAATTTTTATATCTATTCACTTTTACTAAACGATACTTAGGAACAGCAAGATTGTTTTTAAATCTAGTAATAATGTTATGAATAATTAGTTAGTTATGAAATGAGTGAAGATTTTTGCATCAGTTCTTTTGCTTCAGTCTTGACTTGTCAAGAAACTTTTGTGTTCATAATGGATATTATACATAACCCATAAATGCTATATTATAAGACAAAATAAATAAATAGGTTCTATACGTAAGTAATAGAAATATATGACTAAAAATACAAGTTCTTCATGAATATAGACGACCTTATTAAATCTGAATAATGAGCTAAGCTTGAGATTGGTTGTAAATTGGTACTTGTACCCAACACATGAGTTAATAATATCTGTTATAAAGCGAAAGCTTGTATCGTGGAAAATCGTCAGTATGTTATATATTTTCATAGGGTTCTAGTAATAATGCTATGGATACAATATTTAATCAAAATACCTATTAAATTTCATTAATATTTTTAAGTTTAATTGATATTAATCTTTGCCAGGTTGGTAACCAATATGTAATAAACTAATGTAATTTTTGTACACATAAGAAATTTAGTAATCGTAAACACTTGTTAAGATTTTTTTAATGGATTATAATGGTTTAATGCGTTAGCGGTTAACGCTAGTACCAGTGGAGGATACCAAAATGAGCATGATGTCATTTAACATCCTCCACTTCAGGTCCACGGCAAGATAGGTCAGTTAACGTTTTTTTTTTTTTTTGTGGATGATAATGGAATGGTGCACCCGCCTGCGCTAACGGTTTACGCAGGCGGGGCACCAGTGGAGGATGAACATGAGGTCAGGTCAGTTAGCCCATCGTGACAAATTCACCAAGAATTTAACACGATGGTTTCCAGGGAGAACCGCGTGGAGGTCGACCTGACATGGTACATTGCTAGCAATGGGGTTATCAATCCACATTACTAACAATCCCCTTCCCCGGTCAGTTAACGTTAACGTAACGGTAACGTTAACAGATGGTTTCCAGAGGGAATCGCATTGGTGCAACCTGACATAGTACATTGCTAATAATGGGGTTAAATCATATTACTAACAATTCCCTTGCCCCCTTTACGATTGTATAAACGAGACAATGAGTGAGTATGTCTTGTCGTGATAATCAAGTGTTTTCCAATAGTACCTACATAGTAAAAACACTAAGAAAGCGGATAGACAGAAATGTCAACTCATAATAATTATTTACATCCATTGACATCTCCAGTTGAGTCGTAACTAGGACGATTATAACAGCGTTGAAATATTGGGAGCTCTTAAATAATATTATTTCGGGAAATCTCGTTTGTATTATTATACAAAGATAACATTGTATAATAATAAAATAATAGATAAAGAATAAAAGATATATATTATATTATCTATTTAATATATCGTACTTGATATTATTACGACCTCCGTGGTCTAGCACACCCGTTTTACTTCCGATGGTCATGAGTTCGATTCCTCGCATGAAACAAGCATCATGAGTATGATTGTTTCTATCGGCCTGGATGTTTTCTATGTATGTCATGTATTTATTTTAAAAAACAATAAAGAACATCTACGTATTTATATTAATTGTTTACGTAGTACAAAGCAAGCTCTGCTTACTTTGGGACTAAATAGCGTTGTACGAATTCTCCAGAGCTATTATTGTTACTTACTATTTAATTAATATTAGAATATCCATCATAGGTATAAAAGTAGGCAAATAAACGCAAATAAGTTAAAAGAATTTTTAATTTACAACAGTAAACTATTCCTAATAGCGACTGGAGAGAATTGCAAACGTGTTGTTGACCTACTTGATGGAAAATCGACAGTACAGGTCAATCGTTACCTGTGTAGATAGAATTGGCTACATATAGGTCAAAGAAGAAGGGTCAAAATTATTTAAAGGGATCGTTGAATTATACCTTAGTGTGTGAATAGAATAGTTGTAAAAAATCATTAATATTTTATTAATATCTTAGCAATCAACATTTCATTTATAAATATTCGAATGTTAAATAGTCTTTTTTAATGGTATTTGCAAATATGATTCTCTTATAAAGGGTATAAATTTCAGGCTAGTGAAACTGCGGGCACAGCTAGTTATAAATAAGTATTATCTTATATGTTATCTTTTCACGACTAAACGGCTAAACAGACCTTAATCAGAAAAACAAACATCTTAGGCTATCTTTTATCACAAAAAAGCATCTCGAATACAAAATCTCGTAAACAGGTAATGTCCAATAATGTCTATATCACAGTACTAAATAACACAAAGAGGAACATAGACTATCTTTTATCTCAAAAAAAACAGACGAAATCGCGTTAAACAGATAACCTAGTGTTTGAAAATATTTCTATGTCAAGTACTAATTCGTTCGTATATCATATGACCTTAATTGTTAATATAAAGCGCAAAATTTCAAGTTATCCGTTATTTTTAGAAATTATATTAGTTATAGTTAGAAATATATAATATGCGTCCTCATTCTCTTTAATGAGTAAACTTTTTTTTCCTTAGCAGATGACAACAGATGACAGCATGAGCGATGACGTGTTTGAGGATGATTCGTTGCGTGCGCCTGCGCAGCGCAGCACCCCCTCCCCCACCGGTTACAGGGATTACCACCCACCCGCGGAGACCCCGGCGCGTGCTCATATAGACGATGACGTGCCTATACACAAGGTATTGTTATTCACATTGTTAACTTAGCTGTTTGATACCATCACAGTAGTATACTCAATGGATTAAAGAAATAAATAATAATAATCTCAGGACAATTCACACATTGTTATGAATACTAGATAACTGATACAAATACAGAGATTTGTTTTTGTTTTTGTAAATAAATACATATTATAGATAGAAAGCACCCAGACCAATACAAACAATTATAGTCAAGAATACAAATATTTGTGCCTTGCTAGATTGAACCCTTGATCATCGGAAGTAAGGCGGTGTGCTAAACCTCTAGACCACTGAGGCCGCCAATAAATCCAATGCCAATGGAAATATCATTCATTGCTATTAAGTCGTACTTCTAAACTATACCACACGCTCTGGTAGCATGGTACGAGTGTCATATCGTACTTTTTTTAGTCAAACTAATAAATGTCTGTACGTAGTAAGTAGTAATGTTTGTAGGGCCCTTCGCTACAAATAAAAACAGAGGGAGATAAAGTACCTTAATCAATTGATTGTTTTATTGAACATACTCTTTTCGTTAAATGATACAAGTTTTACTGAGTCTCCATTGTGTTTTAATATACGTCACGATGCAAGATGTATAACGCTGACTATAACATAATACTGATACTACATAGCTGATAAACCTAATATTTTCTTTTTATTTCATTAGTATCAGCTAATATTTAAAAGAATGATAAACGGCTGATCAAAAACATAGGTACATAAATTTTATAAACATTTTTTTCAATATCTTTTAAAACTAGCTAAAATCTATATTCACCTTCTCTACACTAAACTGTATTAATTAAAAAATTACGAATTACAATAAAAAAATATATATTAAAATAAATTTTAATTTAAGCACTTTTAAATAGTCTAATTTTTCGGAATTCGGAAAGTTATCTTATCACGAAAAGAATGAACAATAAACGTGCTCTTTTAAATAAATGTAACTTTACATTTTAAGTAAAAATTAATACAAACTACAAAATAGTACAAATTCATTTGTGTCAAAATATATAATAATAATATAAATACCTATACATACAGCTGACATGAGTTAAGGTTCGAAAATCCACTTAAAATTAAAAACAATTAAAATCGCTTTCTACTAATTTGCAATTTTGATATCAATACCCATATTAGTTGAGTATTTGATATTTATAACTAAGTACTCTTATAAAATAATTCGTCATCATACAGTGTAAGATATTGTTAACACTAATTCGCGAAGTTTAGTCAGATAGCGTGGAAACTAATTAATCTCAAACAAACCATATTTCATACACATACGAATGTGTTTATAAATCTACTTTAAAGACGAGAAACTTGTCATTTTGACTAAATTTTTAACTAACAATATCCCGCAGCGTTGCTCGCATGAATTCGTGTATCAGTAATTTAGTAGCTATAACTTAATTTCTCCAGGGGTCTTTGTATGAGTCTTTAACACACAATTACACCAACAGACAATTTTCTAACGAAAAGATAAAATTAATAAAAGTTAACATTAGTGGGTACATACGACTTCGGTGGTCTAGCGGTCTAGCTTTACGTCCGCTTTACGTCCGATGGTCGCGGGTTCGATTCCTCGCACGGCACAAACATTTGTATTCAAGAGTATGATTGTTTGTTTTTATCTATGTATATTATGTATGTATTTACGAAAAAAAAATTATCTATGTATTTTTATCAGTTATCTAGTACCCATAACACAAGCTTTAGCTGGCTTAACTTGGGTCTAGGTGGCGCTGTGTGAATTGTCCTGAGATTATTATTATTATTATTATTATTATTATTATGTACATATGTTAACGTATGTATTTTCCAATAGGAAGGAAATTTCCAATCCAAGAGGAAGGTTTATATGTATAATATGCGTATCTACACCCGTGCGAAGCAGGGGCGGCCAGCTAATTTAATTATAACCAGCCGTGCCCGCGATATCACTATGTGTTGAAGTATACGTATTTTAAAATTTCATTAAAATCCATTCAGCAGTTTTTGCGTAAAAAAGTAACAAACCATCCATCCATCTACATTCACTAACTTCCGCATTTATAATATTAGTAAGATATCTACTATAGAATAGTTGTATGGCGTATTGTGTATTATAATCCCCAATCTATTTATATCCTTCATAAAAAAAGAAACTCGGTTTTGAACTCATTACGCGCACAAATTGGTGTTCGATAACTTTGAGTCACTGAAAAGTTTGATGGGTGTTAGCCAATTTATATCTCATCTAAGCTGATTTATCTAATTACAAACCTCTTCTAAGTGACGAGAGTTCCTTTTTCTTTGAAAAGTTAATAATATCTCATTGCGTCGTTATGGAGATTATCACTAATCAAAACTGTAAAGGTAAAAGGGTCTTTAAATAAATTGATTACTTGGGATCGACAACAAGATTGAAAACGTCAAGTTAATGATTACAGTATTAATAATTAATTATTACAGTATATTCACGAAAATAAAAAAGATGACTTCATTAAGCGTCTGTCTTGCATTTTTCTGAAAGTGTACCATGAATGAATATTCACTTGAGTAAACTGCAATTTCTAAATTAATATTTTTTCTATGACAACAACGAAGCATTTTTAATTAAATATGAAAGTTTAGAAAATGAATCTATAATGTCTTTTATAGAATAACCCGTTCTTATTATATTTTACATCAATCATAAACCTTACGGAATACTTAATATAAATTAGAGATTCAGCTTGAGCTTTCATTAGTAAATAAAAGCCGTATCAATAAGTAACAAGTGTGAATAAGTCTCACACATCGAGGGTTCCAAAAAAATATTAGAGTCCTTGAATGCAAATTGATATAAGTATGTTGAGAGAACAAAGAACTCTGCGCTGAAATAAACTTACTAATGGTAATATCAGTAGGAATAGTTGTTTCTGAGTTATAATGCTATACAGATGTATGGATACAGTTACATCAACTTTCATTTTGGGTTTGAAAGTTTAAAACTGAATATATAAAATATAAAAATGAGACAGAGCAATGTTTTCCTTTAAATATATATATACTCATACGTAAATTGTTATAATCTATAATAATAACTAATATATAGATTAGTTATTATTATAGATTATAACAATTTACGTATGAGTATATATATATAAATAATATAGCTAATATTGTAAAAAAATGTAGACTTATTTGTATTATTTTTTTGTTCAAACCAAACATTTCTTAGGTAATAATTAAACCGGAAACAAGGTTTGGTTAAAAAAACCCTGATTAGCCTTTTCGTAAAATCTTGAAATTAAAACATTTCTCATCCTAATTAAGACCTCGGAAGTCACTTTTTCTTTTAAAAAAAGTTAAACAACCCTAAAAGGCGTATTCGTTAGGAAATTAAAAATGAAACAATAAATTCTCTTTGAAACAAAAAGAAAATGTATATACCCGTATATATATGCCCTTTGCTTTATACTCGAAAACAAAGCCTGCATAAAACGAGGAGTTTCAGTTTAGAATTTAAGGCAGAAACATTTTCTAAATTAAAAACTAGATTTTAAAATATTTCTCCTTTAATTATACTTAATTAGATGTTTTTTTCTTTGTCTTTACCCTTTTCCACTATTTGGGTTAATTTCCTCTTGACCTATTTTGGGTATTTCTCAAGGTCATTTTAGTTAGTCCAATTTCCTAGATTATACAGGTTTAGGCAGCATTTGTAGAAACGATTTTGCTAATAAAATGTTTTCTCCGAATAGACTTCTGTAGTTTTTACTCATAGTAAGTCTTTCTTATTGATATCGATTTTTTCGACAAGCTTATACATTTACGAGTTACATCAACAATATAGCTATAAACTGAAGTTTCATGGGTAATCTGGCACTTTAAGGCTTCAACCAATCATCATAAAGTTTAATATACTTGCACATATTTCCTTTATGTAACCGGACTGACAGAGATTTGGATGGTCCGCCTGCTGACATGTAGTCACTGTCTCCTCTATACATAAATAGAGATCAGGTCATCATGTGACCATATGAGGCCTTGTCATTCTGGAGGACCAATCTGTTATAGTTCCTGATTCTGTAATTCCACTGTTGTATCTCTACATCCGAAACAAACCTTATTATGATACCAATAATATGACCCACGCAAACAACTTGGTGTAAAGACTTGTTAGTAATATAAAGAAGAGAAAACAACTAGACTATGCTACTATGAACCTGGGTTACAAGTAGATAGTTGGAAGGAAAGAAGCAAATAAATTATAATTAAAAAATGAATTTAATAAAAAATATTCTTTCAGACTATTCTACTTGGTGACAGCGGAGTTGGGAAGACATCTTTATTAGTTCAGTTTGAAACTGGAAAGTTCCAGGCAGGCAATTTCTCAGCAACCGTCGGCATAGGTTTCACGGTAAGTAAATACTTTAATGTTTGTCTTAAGAAATAGTTGGTTTTTTGAACTAAGAGCGAGTGCAATGCACAGGTAATTAGGTAATACATTTCATTATTCATTTTTTGTTGTCAACGGTGGTATGTTTGACCACCTAACCACACCTGACCACAAATGATAATATTAAATATAATTTATTTGAAAACAATGTTTCATATTAACACGAATCAGGATAATTACTTAATAAAGAAATAACAAGAAAGATAATTATTTTAATTATTTCCCTGAGAATAAAAAATAAAAAATGCGAACCACAAAAATTACCATCTATAGGGCTACGAAACCTATTTTTCGAATTTATATGTTTGTGAGTAATCGATAAATATTTGGCTAAGGAACTTCAATATAAAATCATTATCTCATAAAGATTGTTCAAATACTTCGCTTGTTGTTCTATTCTAATGGGCCATCTTAACGTTATTACAGTATTTCATATCTTAGAAAGTTAATTAAATGAGTACCTACCCACTTACTAAAATACGCAAGATTTTGATATAATTAAGTTGATTGAGATTGTTTATTGTATCAAGGAAAAATTTTACTTTTGCACGTTTATCGTCCTATCTGATGTTGAACTGAAATATTCCCTGCAAAATGTAAATTAAACATTTTTTTAATGAATGACGATATGGTGACAGTTTATACTTATGTGACATCAGTGAAACATGACATGAGAATGAAGTCAGATCACTTATCCATTGTGATGAAATCATCAGGAATTACTAATAATAAGATCCAGCTGGAACCGCGTGGAAGTCGAGTTGATTGCATTATTAGCAATTACAACAATCCCTTCCCCTCTAAATCAAATGTTGCATTCACAATAACCACTCATTTATACTAAGTGGTTATTAAATGTAATGGGTAAATTACTATATACTCGCATATATCTCCGACATTTGTGATTTCGCGGCGAAGTATTACATGCATTTTTCTTAAGTGGTCACTGTTGTAACAAATACACCACCGACTGCGTCACTACTAGTGTAGCACAGCCACAATCCATTCTCATTGTATGACTTCAAATGAAAACAACAGACCAACGTAACAGCATAGAGGGAATACTATTTATTATAAATAAATTAAAATATTTTTATATAAATCAATCATTTAGTATTTGTTGCTATTTTGTACCTATATTATCTATATCTTATATATAAAATTCTAGTGTCACAGTTTTCGTTCCCATACTCCTCCGAAACGGCTTGACCAATTCTCATGAAATTTTGTGAGCGTATTGAGTAGATCTGAGAATCGGCTATCATCTATTTTTCATCCCCCTAAATGTTAGGGGTAGTCCACCCCTAATTTTTTTATTTTTATTTTAACGCAAAACAACGTTTGCCGGGACAGCTAGTATTCATATATATATGTCTATGAACAGGTGTAGAGCCACCTTAATTCCAAATGAAATTATATGGACAGTATATATATTTATAGTATCGAAGTCACACACTTTGAATGAATTAAGTACAATTCTTAGTAATCTGAGAAATATATTTCTAAATAATTTTCAAACCTAATTCTAACTTTGCCTCAAGTATTAATATTAGAACTCTGTTTCTATAGATTTAAAATCAATGTCATTTTAACATGATATTGTTTTAAACCTTACTTGTCCGTGGTTTTCGTTTAAATAAGAAAATGTGAGTGAGCGAATGTATTATTTTTAACATGAGTTTACGGCGGCATCTTTCGAAGCTATTGCTAGTAGTATCCGTTTAAAGATTTTTGATGTTCTGTTATGAAAATTATGTTCCGGGAGGGCAATAGAGTCATTGGAATAATGACATTATTGAGCAATATTAATATGTTATGTTTTAAAACACTCATTACTTATGAAAAACTGTTTATTGTTCTAACTGAATGTTAATGTATGTTTTCATTTGATACGATTATTATTGTTTAGATTATGGTTAGAATTATTAAAAAACAACCTTTTGTTTATGACTAATCTCATTTTACTTAATTGGACATGAGTGTTGTATTTATGTTAATTTATTGTTGTTTATCTTAAGACTTAAAAATCAGGATGTTGCATCGAGTTTCTTAAGTGAGAAAAAACATTTAACAAATTGAGGAACCGGGTCACTTAAGTCCACAATTTAAGGAAATCCCAATAGCATTGTTACCTACATAGTAATGACTTCACTAAATCGATTTCGATTAACGATATCCGATCTTTTTAAGAGTTCACTCGAATCTTAACTGATTTCTTATTTCCGAGAATATCACCGATTCCTCTTGGGTTACTTTAATCTACAATATTAAATAGAATCCACGTTGAAGTTAGTTTGGTACGACGTAAATTACACAGCTTTGCAATATTTGTTGCCTCTGGTTAATTCTTTAATCCGATATACCTCATCTTTTCTCGAAAAGACTTTGTAATGAGATTTTCCATTAACTATAGAATAAGTGATTGAATTTTTTTCTCTACTTTTTTTTTGTAATATAGAAATAAATTTTATGACATTCTAAATAACTATCATAATAAATGTCGAAAAATGTTGAACTTAAAATAGCTAATCTTACACAGGTAAATGTAGGTAATTTTTTATTTCTATAATTATCAGAAAAAAAATCTTAAATAAGATTATCAGATCACTAGTAGAGAAAAATGGAATAGGAGTACGAACATGAAGTTGTCTTTCATGTTAAAAAATACTTGTAATACAGGAGGAGGGGATTATTAACTGGAAACTAGTGATCAGATCTACCTCCACGCGGTCGTTCCTATAAACCATCGTGGTTAATTCCTAGTGAATTCGTCATTAAGAGCTAGCTCATCCTATCACCCTTCACTGATGCCCGTCTGCACATAGGTACCGCAGGCAGTTGCACCATTCCATTATCATCATCATAAAAAACACGTTAATACAGGACTTAATGAATTATATACGTGTATATATCACTGTTTATACAAAGTTGTCTGTGCCTCTGTAACAATGTAGAAATTCAATAATAAATCATTCGATATGCATCGGACAGGTACGTGAAATTACATTCTCGTGGGTATTGCATCAATCAGTTCGTTGATTATGCATTCGACAGACATGTTTTCATAGTTACTGAATATACACCTTTAATTGCAGCGTATTTCCACAATTGTTTGTCTGGCTGCAAGAGAAATTTAACGGAATTGAACGTATAATAAAATAATGTTACAACCTTTGTTACGATTAAAATATGATTTATGTATATTTTATTGTTGATAGTTATAAATAATAGGTTTTTATGACAAACAATCTTAGGACTCACGTGATATCATCAGTATCGGTAACGGTTACCTTACCTAAAAAGGTTGTAAGGGGATGAAAGGGGAGACGAAAGATTGTTTATTTTTATTTTGATTGAATACAAATAAATATGACATTCATAGTTTATGAAAATTTTACCCTTAAACGGGTAAAATAAAATCGAGGATGAAAGTTTGTATGCAAAATCGTCATTTTTCAAGCTATTACGAATGAAACATTTGTCTATGGGTTTTTTTATAACTAGACTAAATAATTAAAAAGTTATCCAAGATCAGTATTCCACGCGGACATATTCGCTGGCTCAGCTAGTGTTATATAAAGTATATACCTAATATAAAACAGCTACAGAAGGTAAGCTACAAACATTGTAGCGTCGAGTATTACTTATATAAATTCAACAATGTTAGTCCTATACTGAATAACAATGTTATTGTTACCATTGAAAGTTGTAAATGTAAATAATATCTTCGTAAACCGTATTCAAACTTTCAAACAAGTCAACAGCATGAATTCTTCTTTTTTATGATTTGTTACTTGTTTACATTAGAAGTTTCGCTGGCAGTATACTTATTAACCTCTTTGTTATTTAATACATCTCTATGAAACCGTATTATGCATAATTTTTTTTTATGGATAATAATGGAATTCAGATTAGATCCGCTGATAATGATAGAGGATGATCAGATGATCATAAACTCAGATAGTGTATTTACCAGCAATTAACCACATTGGTCTTCAGGAGAAACTTCGCGTAGGTTCAACTGGCGTGGTACAATATTTGCAATGGGGTCACCACCCCTTAATTACGTACAATTAGGTAAAGAGGTTTTTTACAATTTTATTTGTATTCCACTGCTGGGTAAAGGCCTCCCCTCCACGCCTTTAAACCTCTTTATCCCAAGCATGAGTTTAATGGTAACATTTATATGTTTGTATGTAAAATCTTAGCAAATTTACCTTGTGCATATAATATCACTCAAAACATGATCAAAGAAGTTGTTAGGTTTTCGGGGTGATCTTGAAAACCTGGCAGCTCCTTTGATGCTGCTTTAACGAATTTATCATCTGCTTTTGAACTCAACGTTGCATTGAAATTATAATACACAAAGAAATCTCGATTTGAACTTAGCAACGTTTTTATTTTAATGGAGCTTATATTGCGGTTAATAAAATAAGCAAACAAAGATTTTTATTGGTAAAAGCACTCAAGTAATTTAGACGGATTTACTTAAATCCAACTTATAAGTTCAGGAAAGTATGCACTTTGCGTCTTACGGTTCATCGACAACTGAGAGCTTTTCTAAATGTAACAAAGCTAGGATTAATAATAAACATATCAGTTAGTGAGTATTATGTTCACATAGTCTTACAGCATTTGTTTTGTTTAACTATAGTATTACAGCTTCGCTCACGAATCTATAAAATGAACGAGTTTATGCAAATTTGCGGGCTTCTAGTTCTGTTTTTATTTAAATAAAAACTGCAATTTGTGAGTTGGAATCATATACTGGTGGTTTGAAGTAATATAATTTCTATCTATCTAAGTATACCAACGAATGGACTCACAAATGCGTACCATAAAGGGTTCGTGTTATTTTTTGGTTCAAAGCCCTCCAATAATAAATAATATACCAACTTTGTAACTAAATATATGCATAAATATGTGCATATTTATGTACCTACTTTTTCAGTTAATAAATT